TATGGAGTAAATATACAAGCCTGGAAGAAAATGCACCAAAACACAATTCAAATGGCCTCTCTGTATTGAGGAGGTTGGGATTCAGGGGTTGGGGGAAGTACCAGGGACTGAACTCAGGGGCACTTGACCATTGAGCCACATCCCCAGCCCTATTTTGTATTTTTATTTAGTGACAGGGTCTCACTGAGTTACTTAATGTCTCACTTTTGCTGATGCTGGTTTTGAACTGCTGATTCTCCTTCCTCAGCCTCCCGAGCAACAGGGAGTATGCCATCACGCCTGGCTAAATATGATTATTTTATTATACTTTGGATCTGAAATGTCCTCCAAAGGCTTACATGTTGAAGGCTTGATTCTCAGTTAGTGATGCCATTGGGAGGTGGGAGAAATTTTAGGACTAGAGCCTAGTTAGAGGTAGATCACTGGAGTCATGCCCTTGAAAGAGAAACCTGGGCTCTGCCTCTTTTTCTAATTCTTGACTGCAAGGTGAATAGCTTGCTCCATCATGTGTTCCCCACCATGATGATCTGACTTACATAAAAAAATGGTGCCAGCAGGCCATGGAATGAAACCTCTGAACCCATAAGCCAAAACAAATCTTTCTTCTTTTTTTTTAATATATTTATTGCATTTGTTTTACTTATAGTTGGACACAATACCTTTATTTCACTTATTTATTTTTATGTGGTACTGAGGATCGAACCCAGGGTCTTGCACATGTGAGGCGAGCGCTCTACCACTGAGCCACAACCTCAGCCCCAAATTTTTCTTCTTTTAAGTTGATTTTCTCTAGTATTTTTTCACAGCAAAAGAATACTAACAACAAACTTTTTTTTTTTGGTGGCAGGTGGCATGCCAGGGATTAAACCCAAAGACTCTTGCATGATAAGCAAGTGCTCTGCTGCTAAATTATAACCTCAGCCCTTTTTAAATTTTAAGATAGGGTCCTGCTAAATTGCCCATGCTGGCCTCAAACTTGAAATCTTTCTCCCTCACTTCCCTATTTGCAGCTGGAATTATAGGTGTGTACCACCATGCGGAGATCTTTTTTTTTTTTTAATAAGATGTATTATTTCTACAATTAGAAAATGTAATCTTAAATGATACTGTTTGGGACATCACTCAGATATGTGAAATTTACTTAGGAAACAGTTAACTTGTATAAGTGGTATTTTTCTACTTATTTTTTATTGCATAAAGTGGAACCCTCAGCCTTCCAGAATAAAAGTAGAGGAAAGATGTTTTCCATGTTTTGCAGA